TGTGGACTTCAACTCCCAGAGTTCCTCAGCCAGCTGGCTGAGGAACTCTGGGAGTTGAAGTCCACAAGTCTTAAAGTTGCCAAGGTTGGAGACCACTGCTATAGAGCACTGCACAACAAGACAACTAGACACAAAGAGTTTTTTCCCGAATGCCATCACTTTGCGAAACAACTAATTCCCACAACACTGTCAATAATTTACTAAGAATGTATTACTCTTATTTTTCTCTTCCTTCCTAGTATCTATCTCTCCACACTTATGACTATAACCATGTTGCTTGTATCTTTCATATTATGTTGTTTTTATTTGTTTCCTAGTACGATTTGATAGCTTATTAATAATCTTGACTATCACTAAATGTTGTATGTTTTTATTCTTGATGAATGTATTCAATTCTCTTATGTACACTGAGAGCCTATGCACCAAAGACAAATTCCTTGTGTGTCCAATCACACTTGGCCAATAAAGAATTCCGTTCTATTCTGTATTCTCTATTCTATTCTATTCTATTCCATTCCATTCTATATAGCCAAGGGAATTGTTCAGAATTGATAGTGAATGGCAGTAAGAAGTAAATCTCATTGCTTTTCTTTATGTGACAAAACCACTTTTATACTGGCCAGTCACTTCTGTAAATAGTCCACATTCATTTGGCACCCATTCATTCTTGATTATATATCTTCTTTCCTTACTGCACACATATCTTAACTAAAGCCATTTCCAGCACATCTAACATATTTTACATCTCTCTTGGCATGTCCCAGCCTCATATCCATAAAACACCACACTCTTATAACACAACATTTCTACTTCTTTTGACAAACATTTCTTCTTGTAATAGATCACTTTTTCCATATCAGAATCTGGTGGAGGAAACTGATGAAGAAGTATGTGAACAAGGTATAAGATAAATGTATTCAGTTGTCGTAGCTTTTCTCCAGGCGACATATAGGTTTTATTTGCAGTTCTTTACTGCATTTTCAAGACCAAGAAATATTTTTTAATATATTAAAAATCTTGTTCTTCATCTTGTTCTTCAATACATTAATTTATAGATCCGTATTCCTGACTTTATTACATAATTTAACTAATTTTCACAGCAAATTATTTTGATTCCCAATCAACCGCACCATCATTTGCATACAAAAGTGCATGTAATTGATATTCTCAGCCTCCACATATCTTTTGCATATTTATCTCTCAATAAAAAATCACTGGGCATCTTTTTCGTAATACCAGTATAATACTGAACCCTTCGCTGAGTATTTCATACTAAGTTTTGGTTATTGTCATTACGTAAAAATTGCCAGAAAATAAGTCATGTGGAAACTTTATTTAAGATTGAAAAAGATTGAAAAAAGTGACATGAGCCACGGTGGCGCAGTGGTTAGAGTGCAGTACTGCAGGCTACCTCTGCTGCCTGCCGGCTGCCTGCAGTTTCGCAGTTGGAATCCCACCAGGCTCAAGGTTGACTCAGCCTTCTATCCTTCCAAGGCGGGTAAAATGAGGACCCAGATTGTTGAGGGCAATATGCCGATTGTAAACCGTTTAAGAGGGCTGGAAAGCAGTCTAAGTGCTATTTCTATTTAAGATTCAGTTTGCACTGCTTGCAAATGATTCAACATAGAGTGGCAGCTGCCATCTCAATGCTTGCTTGTGCTTCACTACTGTTCGGTAACAGACTTCCATGAACTGGGGAGAAGGGGAAAGGCGAGAGGGAAAACAAAAGTAAGTGCTGTATCTCTTTGGGATGTTGCTTCAAGGTCACCCAGCAATACCAGCTGCATACCATTCTGTGCTTGAACTGACCGTTAGGAAAACATCCTGCCTGAACCTGACTGGTTACATGGGGATGGGTGATGGGAGGTAGCAAAGGGAGGGGCAAGTTGAACTTAGAGATTCTGTGAACTCGTACATGTGCTTGCTCTTTTCCAGATACGTCCCCACTGCTGTAGGGGAGCCGCCTGTCAACATCTGAGACGGCGGCCTCGCAGATACGCCCCTGTGCTGTTTCAGAGTTGCCAGAGAAAGGAGGGGGAAGGGGAGGGGTTGCATAAGGTAAATTACTGGGTATTGGGTGCTGGGTGTTGTGATAGTCGCACGGAGGGGGGTGCAGCAGACCGGGAAGGGGGGGGGGCAAGGGCAAAGCAACAGTGGCCGGAGAGTCTTTGCTGGAGCCAGCCTGGAGCAAGCCATGGGGATGGGGCTTGCTGAGCCCTCATAATCAGCCGGCAGGCAGAAGCCGGTAATGCTGGCTAGATTCTCAATTCATCGTGTGAGATCAGTAAAGAGACCAGTAAAGGGGAATTGCTCTCCCTATGGTGTGGCCTCGTTTCTAACTGGCTAGGCTCAGAACAGTGACATTCTGACTATGCATTATTGCAATACACTTGACTTCTAATAAAACTATACCTTTCTCAACACATGGAGCCAAGGATCATTTCTATTTAGAGGTTTAAGTGGTGGCAGGCCTGACAATGCAGTAGCTAATCGCCAACTAAATGGATCCTGTTTGTGTTTCGTCACTTTTATAGCTTCAAACGCCAAACCTCACCTTCCCCCCTGTCCGAATTACTGCAGGATGGTTTTTCAGATCTTCAATTATATTTCTCCTTCGACAACAGAAAGAACATTCTGACTACAAATCTGGAACCTAAAGGTTAAAGACCTCAAAAACATTTTTCCAAAATACTTTACAACATTTGTTAAGATTTTTTTTCCTTAAAATAATTGAAGCCAGGATATCATTTGCAATGATTAATTCTGGTTTTATTACTCACGTTTGAAAAGGCAGAATGTTTACGTTTTACTTACTCTTGCCAGTCGAACCATCTTCAAGGCGTGTTTTCCTCTCAAATAAGCCTTTTCCTGCTGCTCTCGCCTTTCTCTTTCCTTGTCATTTTGCAGCACTTCCGTTTGTTTGGCTTCCTCTTTAGCTAGTAACCGAGCATCTGGCTGACAACCAACCAGCAACTAGTTAGCAACCAAGCTCTGTGGTGCCTCAAAGAATATCGTCATTAAAAATTCTATGGCTAAAACGTATCAAACCAAAACAAACTTGGGCCCAACCGCAATACCCAAGAGAGGTGCCACTGTGAATCCATCCGCTTTAAACCAATAGAGCAGGGGTGTCCAACTCAAGGCCCGCAGGCAGGATCCGGGTGCTTAGATTTGGCCCACGGGGCTGTCCTGGAAACAGCAATGGACTGGCCCCCGCAGTGCCTCTGCAAGTGAAAACGGAGCTTGGGAGGGCTGTGTTTGCGCTGGAGGCTGTTGCAGCCAAAAAAGGAAACCTCCCCACCCGCTGAAACAAGTGACTTCGAGCTAGCTATGCCACCACCACCACCCGGTCAAACACAACCCTGATGCAGCCCTCAATGAAATAAAGTTTGACACACACACCCTGCAATAGAGTGTCAAAACTCTAAGACTGGGGAGGAGGGGAATAACTACTCCCCCACTCCCCATACCTAGCATATGAACCAATGATATGGTTCCAAAGAGTAGTTACTATTTGCCCTACAGGAGAAATGCATTTCCTGGAAATCGCATGGTAATACATTCTCCCAACTTATTAAAACCGCAAAAGGCTCCCCAGTTTTGAGCCATGCACAGTATCTATACTGCTCTGCCTCTAGATAAGGGGTTCCTAAACTTTTTTGGGGGGAGGCATTGCAGCACCCTTTAGTGTAATCTTAATATATAAAAGTAAAGGTTCCCCTCGTACATATGTGCTAGTTGTTCCTGACTCTGGGAGGCGGTGCTCATCTCCTTGTCAAAGCCGAAGAGCCAGCACTGTCTGAAGACGTCTCCGTGGTCATTTGGCTGGCATAACTAAATGCCAAAGGTGCACGGAACGCAGTTACCTTTTCAACAACCTGAAAACCAGCTGGCTAGCGGGAGGCAGAGCCTCCCATTACTGGCAGCACAATGGTGTTGGGATAAGATCTTTTTCTTTTGTGAGCTTCTGTTTCGTCGGTTGCAGGGAAACAGAAGCTCATGAAAGAAATGCCACGGAGCTCTGACCTGGGGCGAAGGAGCACATGCCAGCAGAGAGGGCTCTGGGTGCCACCTCTGGCACGCGTGCCATAGATTCACCCTCAAGGAGCCAGTCATTTCAAGAATCATTTTTGGTGCCTTAGCAGAAAACGCTTGCATTTCAACTGGTAAGTAGGAGGTGTTTATAACTTTAGGAATTGGTAATTTATAACAATGACCATATTTTGCACTCCATAAGCCGCACTTTTCTTCCTCTCAAAAGTGGGTGGAAATATTTGGGTGTCTTATGGGCAACAGGCGGCAGCAGTGAATGCCTGAAACAGCTGATCAACAGTACTGCGGGAGGCTGATCCAACTGCTGATCAGCTGCTCGGAAGTGAAGGCTGCAGCGTTCCCTGGGTGAGCCAGCAGACACAGAGGAGGCAGGCTGTTTGCTGCAAGGACGCTAGCCAGAGGAATACCGATGGACGCTGGGAGGCAGGTTTTTTTTTAACTTGTTTTCCTCCTCTAAACCTAGGTGTGTCTTATGGTCAGGAGCCTCTTATGGAGCGAAAAATACAGTCATTTTCCTTGTTTATCTCCCCTGCTCCAAACTATAAACCTGAAAACAGAGACACTTCATTGGTATGCTCTATCCTGGTGAATCCTTGTGGCTGAAAAGCAAGGTATAAATACACTCTATTGCCAAAAGTATTCGCTCACCCATCCAAATAATCAGAATCAGGTGTTCCAATCACTTCCATGGCCACAGGTGTATAAAATCAANGAAAGCCCTATGAAGCGGTATATAAGTCTAACTGCTATTGCTATTGCTAAGATTTAGTGGATGTTGCAGAAAAGCAAATAATGCTTTGCTGTGTAGGATCATTTTGACGTTTGCCATGGATGGTAATGTTCTGACGTAAACTTCCTGATACAGTAAAAAGCATACGCTTAGTCCCAAAAACCCTCTTTTTATTTCAAAGGCTGTGAATTACGTAATGAGTCCCAAATAGTTGTAAAGAGTCCTACAGTAGGCTGCCAAAGTCTTTCGGGATAAGGCTGATAAACACCCACCTTTATCTTCCTTGAAACGCTGCCAAAGACTTAATTGGCAATTAGCTTGGCAAGGCCACACGGAGCAGAGTCAAAACGGAGCTTCAGAAGGTAAACTGACTAGCATGAAACAAGTCGCTTCCTGCAAAGGCTCACGTGCCTTTGCTCCTCCTTTTTATCCTATGGTAGGGGCCAATCACTTCCAAGCTTTACTCCTGAGTCATCTCTTTTTTCTTAACTGTCTTGCCTTCTGGTAGCTCTTAACCCTCAGATGGCTCTGGCCCCCTCTCTGCCTCTGATGCAGAGCCCTCATCCGAGACTTCCCCAGACTCCAGGACTGGCCCATGTTCCTCCCCAACCTCCTTGCTGTCCGACTCTGCTGCCAGCTCCACAGCCTCCCAGCGGACCACAACAAGTATTTTTTTAAAATATATTGATAATACAAATAACTATACAGAGGTAGTCCTTGACTTATGACTACAACTGAGCCCAAAATGTGTTACTAAGAGAGACATTGGTTAAGTGAATTTTGCCCCATTTTACAACCTTTCTTAAGTTGTTCAGTGAATCATTGCAATTGCTAAGTTAGTAACATGGTTTTTAAGTGAACCTGCCTTTTACTTGCTTAATAGAGACATATATAGTGAGAGAGACACTGAAAAGGTTCTGAACCTTTAAATAATTCCTAGGAATATAAAAAGGATATAAACTGAAAAAAATACATTTAAAAAAATGTTTAAAGTTACTGTCTTTAGTCTGCTTCATCTCTTGTGAAAATATTATAATAAAAAACTGTATTTTTCACACTCCATTATATTTTGAAATTCTCCCTAATCTCTATACTTCAAAACAATTTATTTAAAATGTATTTATTATTTGTTAAGATGCAGCAAATGATAATACAGAAAAATAAAGCTTACCTTGCCCAGAATTATATATTGCTTTTACAGATTTTTTCACTTTTTGTAGTGCAGTTCTGTCCTGATCTAAAGCCTAGAAGGAGAGAGAAAACAGAGGGAAAGAAAGTCAAATCAGGGAAAAGGAACTCAATTTTATACAGGTAGTCCTCGACTTATGACCACAATGGTGCCTAAAATTTCTGTTGCTAAATGAGATAGTTGTTAAGTGAATCTTGCCTCATCTTGCCAGCTGAGAGAGAACCACAGACATCTCATTTCAACCCTTAGCTACAAATATTACTTGCATTCAAGTGGCTATATTATGTAATAATTGATAACCCCGCATTGCCCAGATATTTATTTATAGGGGGAAAATGTCAGAACCAAACGTAATTTCAAATGTTGGATTTTCCCCCTTACCAGAGGGACCATCTTTGTGGAGTACTGTGAAGCTGTTACCATGCCAACTCCACTGTGCTGTACACAGTGGTGGGTTCCTACCGACTTGGATAGGTTCGACTGAACCGGTAGTGGTTTGGCAGCCTGGCCCTGAACCAGTTCCCTAGGTGGCGGCGGTGGCGGCGCCATCTTGTTTTTCAGTTCTGCACATGTGCAGAACAATTTTAATTGCACTGCACATGTGAACGCAGTGTGTATCAACCGAACCGGCAGTAATGCCTGCTGAAACCCACCCTGGCTGTACAGTAGAAGCCATTTTAAGGCACAACAGGCTGTATCTTAACAGAACACACCCCCCGAGGGGTGCTAGGGACAGTATTTGTTTCCAAAGAGTAAGTCATCTGTGTACCAAGTTTGGTTGAAATTGCTTGTGGCATTCCAGAGTTATGCTGGAACACACACACACACACACACACACACACAGCCATGGATGGATGGATGGATGGATGGATGGATGGATGGATGGATTTCAGTCTACGAATAAATGCCATTTTTGTTACTTCTGTTTGGAAACAAATAC